GCTACCACTAGTACTGCTAGACCTGTATTCTATTAAAGGAGACATATCATGCTAAATGCACTTTTTTTGCTTTTCTAAACTATTTTTTGTGCAATTATAGTGTCTAGGAGTGTAGAAAACTTTAATTTATTCTGTTCTGTTACTGCAAAGATATTTTTATATTTTTTATGGGTCAAAAATTTCAGTTAGTTCAAAATCTGCTGTTGCTTATTTCGTTTCATTGTTTATTTAGTCATACTTTTTTCTTCGGAACTACCATTTATGGTAATGTATTTCCGGCCAACTGGATTTCATAGTCTGCCATTTTTTTCCTCGCTGTGTGATTCTGTAGTTCATAGCGTCATGCCGAATATGCAAGTTCAGAAGTCAAAATGTTCGGTTCTGGGGTGTGTGAACTCACATTATTATCTACATAGACTACCACGGTGGAAAGTGCTTGCGGACAAGACAGGATGAATGTTACAACAACAAGGGTGAGTTATGAACTGTAAATGTGTTTTAACTGTCTAATTTAGCTGTTTCTACCCTCTGTGTTGGAATATGAGGGGAGAAAGAACAGCTGTGTTCAAGTGTCTTTACCGAACAGGTGCTCAGCACCGTTGTTTTACTTTCACTTTCGCCCTGCACAGTAATCAGCGTGTCTGTGTTGTTTTTCTTTTTAAAAATGCTGGAGCATTTCAAACTGTGATCTAAAGTTAACGTCAGCTGTTTTAAATGYATTTTTTGCCTGGTGTTAAAAACGGGAGCAGCAGAATGAGGCAGAGAAGCTGTGAGCGCTGTGTGTTGAAGTCCTCATAAGGATAGCAAGATGGTTGTGCGTCTCTCCTTCTTTTGTCTGTGTTGCTGTTTTTGCATCAAAAAAGCTGGGGACATAGTCATTTTATGTAACAAAATATATTAATATTATTAATACACAAATAAAAACAGAATATTTAGCACTAGATAAAATAAGTAATGAGTTTATTTATTTTTATGTTTTTAAGAAAGGGCTGAAAGAAGAAATCCTGTGTGGCAGCACTTTATACAGGCTCTTCAGACAAGGCTTAGTTAATAAATATTGTTTTTGTTTGTTTTGTTTTGAATTAAGACTTGTGTAACATTTGTTATCATTCTTATTTTTATCATGTTAATGGAGGGAGGAAGAAAAAGTAGTATCGGCTTCAAGAATCGGCCAAAAAATACCGGCTGCGGTGTTGTTTTAGTCACTCTGTATTTATGTTTTTTTTCTTCGTTATTCAAAATACTGTGTTAGATGAGTTTTAATGGTGCAACTTCAAACTAACATGTAATATTCTTTTATGCTATTTTAACCAGACTGTACCTGGCTGCAATGCATTTCAATGAAAATGCATGTCTGCAGGCAACTACCTCATCTGGAGAGCCCATGTAGATTATTCTTTCCCAAGTTCAAGAAGGGAGAAGGAAGGAACAGCAAGTCCCATCAGAACTCCTGAAACCCTAAGTAAGTCTTACTACATTAGTCACTTTTAGTATGGTTTCCACGCAATCCTTTATAAATGAGACCCCAGATGAGGTAGTTGCCTGCAGACATGCATTTTCATTGAAATGCTTTGCAGCCAGGTACAGTCTGGTTAAAATAGCATAAAAGAATATTACATGTTAGTTTGAAGTTGCACCATTAAAACTCATCTAACACAGTATTTTGAAATAATGAAAAAAAAACATAAATACAGAGTGACTAATAAAACTGTAAGAAATATACGTGTTCAATAACGACTGAAGTCAGATGAAAACACAAGTGTTAAATAAGATGATCTG